TCAACATTGAGGCAAGACCCTCCACCAGCAAAAAGATTACGACTCGCTGAAGGCTCAGATGATGGTTAGCATTTTTTAGCAATAAAGTATTTTTTAATTAAGGTATGTACATTGTTTTTTTAGACATAATGCTATTGCACACTTAATAGACTACAGTGTAGTGTAAACATAACTTTTATATGCACTGGGAAACCAAAAAATTCGTGTGACTCGCTTTATTGCGATATTCGCTTCATTGCGGTGGTCTGGAACCAATCCCGCAATATCTCTGAGGTATGCCTGTATCATATAGCTCCTGGTATAAAATGCTAGAAGTTAAAACCTACTTTGCTATTTACAGGGCTTTGTAACTCCATTGCAGCCTCCACTAAACCAAACATAATTTTTATCCATCCATTGGCCTCTCAACAGCATTTGGGCCTCCACTGCACATAGGAGAGAGAATTTCTGCATTGAAAACCATACCAAGTCTGGCTTCTGAAACCAACTGCTGAATCACAAAGCAGGCAGGGGATGTCACAGTTTTCACCGTTGTTGCTAGCAGGTGAAGCTTATTGGTTCGGTATGGTTTTCAATGCAGAAATTCTCTCTCCTATGCGCAGTGGAGGCCCAAATGCTGTTGAGAGGCCAATGGATGGATGAAAATTATGTTTGGTTTAGTAGAGGCTGCAATGGAGTTACAAAGCCCTGTAAAGCTTATTAAGAAGCTTATTGTTTTAGATTTAAATAAAATGCACAGCGTTAGGCATCCTACCAATCAATTAGACTTCTCATCTCAAGTGAAGACCACCCAGCAGCAAAAAATATTCACCCACAAATAAAAAAATAAGTTAGGCAGCCAATAAAATAGAGCAATAAAACAGTCCCTTTCACCTCTGCAAGAATATGCCCTCATCTTTTCCCCCAAATCCTGTCAAATAAATGTCTTCTACAGAATGCTTAGGAGGGCAATGAGTTTTGACTGTCCGGGATTTATGCTGACTTCTGGAATAATCAAGGGCTGAAGGGTGACTGTGGTAGCATGTCCAACTGGGTGAGCTACTCCAGATTTACACTAATTTGGCCCCTACATTCTTGGTTTCCTGTAGCAATCATATTGTTCCAGATCTTCCGCTACAAGATGGGATTTAGAAATGTTGAGGAGATATGAAAGGTTAAATATTATAATAATAGAGAAATAGGGGTGGGAGGGAATTCCAGAGCACGTACAAGTGGACCTTGTGTAGCAAATATTTTGAGTTTGGTGCTTTGAAAAAAAGAATTCCCTTTTTAAAAGGAAAAAAGGAGTTTCATTATAGAAGCTTTGATAACCAAACAGCACAGATTTTTTCTTCTCGTCTCTCTTACCTCTTTTTTGAGGATGAACAATGATTAGAGGACAGGATAATAAGAAGTGGGAATAAAGCTTGTGAAAAATCAATTTAAAGAAGAGAGGGAGAGAAAGAGACAAGGAGAAAAAAAATAGACATTCCAGTCAGCTAGTCAAGGTTAGCTTGGATTTATCTGTTTTAACTGACATTATGAAAAATTATAGATGTCATGAAAGCAACTTCACTAATGGTAAAACCCTAGGAAATTCATCTTTGATTGTGCTTGGCAGCTCAGTGATTTTACTTGTTCTTTTATAATATTTTAACTTCCTCATCTCTGATGTCGTATATCTTCACTTACGGACTTTGACGAATTACATTGCTTTGCAAAAGAGATCAAATTGCAAAGGAACATTTTTACTGTCTTTCACTGCATAAATTATGGCTAAGCTAAAAAGATACTAATCCTAGGGCAAGGGGGGCTCCAGCTGTAACACTGTTCTGTGCTTGGTCAGAGCTCTCTGCCTTCTGAGAGCCATCCTGCATCGTGTTTTCTCACTGGGAGCTTTTTGCAGGGGAAGATGTGGTGGACACCAATGGCAGATTCTTACACAAAGGAAAATGAAATCCTTGGATTTTTTTTTTACACTGATATTAAAGTAAATGACCAAAATTCAACCATTTGGACGATCTTGACAGTTGGAGAAGGGGGCCATTGTGTTTAAGACAGTGTGAACTGAGACTCAAGGAATCTGGGTTCAGTTCTTGGCTGTGCCACAACTTTCTTTTCTGAGCTGAAGCAAATTCCGTAGATTTAGATCCTCAGAGAGATTAGGCACAACTGGAGGGAGGCGCCGAATACCTTTGAAAATCTCAGTCTTAATGTTTCTTGTTGTCCTATCTGTAAACAGGTGGAAGGAAATCAGCATGAGCTATTTCCTTTCAGCTGTCCTGTGTATTCATATCCAAGCAGGGTAAGGAAGGGCTGCCTCTTACTACCTGTCTGTGCTGCTTGCTGTGCTCCAGAAGCAACAGTGTGGGGCACAGGAATGGAATTTGCCTTAATGCAACTGCTCCATTCCGGTAACAGCAAACACATTCAGAAGGGCTGGATATCATAGGAAGAGTCAGATGCAGTATTATGAGGAGTCAGATGCAGTATTTTGAGGAGGTTTGGGAACCAAAGTCATTGGCTTTTGTACCCAGCAAATGCCAGCTTTGATTGCAAGGGACCTTGCAAGTACCACCCAGCTCACCACTGCCCCACAAGGCCTGCAGGTCAGTATCAGAGCTGTTGGGAAGACAAGGTGAAAAAAAAAAAAGGAAGATTGATTTTAAACGGTACAAAAACTGTGTGCACATCTTAATCTTGCATGTGTTTTAACCTAGAAAGACAAGCAGGTTCCCCGCAGGATTCCTTGCTGTGATAGAGTAAATCTGTGTTTGCTTGCAGTGAACCCTGTGTAACTGTATGTCCCTGGCTTATGACCCTGGCCTCCTGCTGGATTTTGACGGTGGAGCGCAAGGGGACATTTAGGCCAAAGCGTTCAGTGACTGGCCTGATGCTCACATTTACCCTGGAAACATCTGGACCGAGCCAGTTTCCCAGTCTCTTTTGCATGCCAGTCTCCAGCAAGCAGGTAAAGCTGTGCAGAGCTAGAAAAAGGAATTCACTTGCCTTGGGAGAAGGTGGTCTACATGGTAGTCTTGATCTGTCATACCTGGCCCGGTTGTTTAACTAGCTCTTAGATTAAAGTCCTTCTGCTGCCATAAGGCTCTTGGAACCAAGGAAAAATCAGCATCCTCCCTCTCAGTTCTCCTTTTCATTGCATGTTCCCCCCTGCACTTCGCCCACACAAGAAGTGCTGTCAAGTGATGTGCAGTGCACAAGGCTGGGCTCACCCAGTAGAGGGAGCCAAGGTCCTACTTGCTGTGGAGCTGTTGGAAGTTGGTGAACAATGAACTGCAAAGGGAGAAAGTGAAGGGGGAGAGGGGGGAAGAAACGAAACAAACCAGCAGCAAAAGATGAGTGTGGTTCCAGCTGGATCTCTGTCTTACCTGCACCCAGGACACTAAGCCTGTGGGATAAATGACTTCTCCCTTGTGTTGGTAAGTACATGCCACATGGAGGAGAAACACGGGGGTCGAGTCCAGTGGGATGTGTTTGTTCTGTGTGTTTTGTGTACTTGCAAGGCTGGTGAGCGTGTGTGCGCGCGTATGGTCTGTACGTGTATGCATGCCTTGTTCATAGACAGTTGATTTGTTCCTGGGGCTCATGTTTTTTCTGTGACTGCATGTGTCTGCTTGAGCATCTTCAGGGATGTTTGACTCTCAGATCCAGTTCTGTTCCCACCTGTGTTTTTCCGCCTGTTCGATTTGTGTATCCCATTCTGTGCATGTGTGAATGTTGTGGCTGCTTGATACCCACCTCTGTTTCTTTCCGTGTGTGTCCGTACTTTTTTGTAGCTCTGCAGCACTGGGGTGTGTGTGTGTTTTGTGTGTTTGATTATGGGTTTTGGAGTAATTATGTATCATCTTTATTTGTGCTCTGTATGTGGCTGGATGTTGTCATTTACATTTGAGGAACTTTTCACAATGACAGGTTTATTGCACGTATTTACTTGTCATGTAAATTAATTGACCCTGTCTAGATTTAAATAGTGAGATGCTGTATGTTATCCCATGTGTCACCAAGATAAATGTGGTTCAGGACAGTTTATATTAATACTGTTTGCTCAAACTCGGATGCTGGCATTTATTCCCTTTTCTGTGTCTCCCTGAGTATTCACCCACTAAACTACATAAAAATACCAGGGACAGTGAAACAGGATATAGCCCTTCAGGTTGTCCTGGAAATGCTTCTCTCTGGAAGAGTTTCTTAGATGGAGGGGATGAACAGGGTTGCTTCTGCTGCTGAGCTTGCTCACTGCATGGTCCCATGTCTGCTTTTCCTCTTTCTTAATCCTTTAGGAAGGAGATTCGAGTCAACCAGACCCTTCTTGGAGAGGCGATGTTGCCAACTCCTGCCCCAGGCAGAAAGAAGCTTTTGGTACTAGGGACCCCCTCTGAGCAAGACGGAGGGAAAGTCACTGGGATTGGAGATGTAAATCTCAGGGCAGGGTGCAGGAGACCCTGAAGAGCCTGTTGTACCCGGACTTTTGTCAAAGGGAGAGACGTGTCTGAGCTGGACCTGATTCCTGGAATGCAACTGTAATGAGCCGTAGCTGGAATTATTTCTCAAGAATTATGGAGAGTTAGCATGGCAGCAAAGTATTAAAGCAAACTCTACCCCTTGGGAACAGGAACACACTCCCCCTGCTTCTGGTAGCCACTGGCCTCAGAGGGACTGGCTGAAGGGAGCTCCACTCAGGTCTTTCCCATTTCCTTCTTCTCCTCTTCCGCTTCTTTCTTCCAGCAACGATCAAAAGATAGCAACATCACTCAGATCCTGCTAGTGTTGGAAATACCGTGCCTTGGTTTGGGATGATTTGTACTGAAGTGCCACTTCAATGGGATATACTCAATGGGATATATAAGGTGCAACTTGGGTGATGACCACTCAGCTGGGACTGACTTGGTTAACAAAGTTTGCAGGCTGCTTGCAAGGACCAGGTGGAATGGAATTGCTGTGCTCTTATAGGACTCTAGTGTTAAATAAGGGATCTTCATGCAGTGTTTGAAAACCAGAGCTATTGCTAACTCTTGCTGATCAAGCTACTGGCTTTTATTTTTTCCCCACTTGCACCTTCACGAAAAAAATACACCCGATGCAATCAGTGCAATTGTTTTTAGGTTGGTTTCATGTTTATGATTTGCTATGCAATTCAAATGCTAAATAAGGAAGAATCACAAATCTTCATCCCAGGACAAACAGAATCAAAGGGTAAAAGGTAGGAAGCAGAATTTCTCATTTAAATAGACATAAATAACTTGAGCCATTCCTTTCTGAAAATCTGTAGACACACACGCACACACGCACACACACACTGTATATTTATTTTCTTGTCCCTAGGACTGTGAGAGTTAAGCAACGTGGATTTGGTCTCTGAGGCTGCCCATACACAGAGAGCTGATGTATTTTGGAGCAGGAATGTACTCAGTGTGAAAAGGGTGGGGGACAAATGTCTCATTCGGTGGAGATTTGAGAAATTAAATTAGAAACAAGAGTACCTAATGTAATGCACTTCACTATATCTGAAGGGCTAGTCAAATGGGCACTGGAAACACTAGATCAATAGCCTATTTTAGGGGAAATATATGCAAACTGAAAAAAGTCACTGCATTTCTGTTTGTTGGGTGTATTGGCAGGGGACTCGAGCAGGACAGTTGCAGGTGGCCTGTTTCAATTAGGCCATTTTCTGCTTGAGCAGTGCCGGGTAGGTCAGAAGGGATGGCTACAACGAATCTATAGTTGACTGTGTTTGTAAATTTCAGCTGTTGTCACAGAGCTGTTGATACCTCTTAATGAGAGTCTTGAGGATGGAGTCGACCCAGGGATGAAGAGACTGTAGCACAAACCTTGGGTTTTTGTTTGGTGATGAGTAATTAATGGACGCCTGATATATCTGTAATCTCTGCAAGGCAAGGAGCTGATGTCATCATGAAAATCATGATATGATTGCCCCCCAGGAGAAACTATGACTTGGAACGACACCACAATGGATGGGGAAGGGTTGCTTGTTGAAAGGGACTCCTCCTTTCGAATCCTCACCGGCTGCTTCCTTTCTCTGTTGATACTCTCCACGCTTCTGGGGAACACGCTGGTCTGTGCAGCTGTCATTAGATTTCGCCATCTGAGGTCCAAGGTGACCAACTTCTTTGTGATCTCCTTGGCAGTGTCAGATCTTTTGGTGGCGGTCTTGGTCATGCCTTGGAAAGCTGTTGCTGAGATAGCCGGTTTTTGGCCTTTTGGTTCATTCTGCAACATATGGGTGGCATTTGATATTATGTGTTCCACAGCCTCAATCTTAAACCTGTGTGTCATTAGTGTGGACAGATACTGGGCCATTTCCAGCCCGTTTAGGTATGAGAGGAAAATGACTCCCAGGGCAGCCTTCATCATGATCAGTGTGGCATGGACCTTGTCTGTGCTGATTTCTTTCATTCCGGTGCAGCTGAACTGGCACAAGGCTAAAACAACAAGCTTTTTAGACTTAAATGTCAGTTTTCAAGGTATGACCATGGAAAACTGTGATTCCAGTCTAAACAGGATGTATGCCATCTCCTCTTCTCTAATTAGCTTTTACATACCAGTGGCCATTATGATAGTGACCTACACAAGGATATACAGGATTGCTCAAAAACAGATAAGGCGAATCTCAGCTCTGGAAAGAGCAGCAGTGCATGCCAAGAACTGCCAAAACTCCACTGGTAACAGAAACAGTATTGACTGCCAACAGCCAGAGAGCAACTTCAAAATGTCTTTCAAGAGGGAAACAAAAGTTTTAAAGACTCTGTCAGTGATCATGGGGGTGTTCGTATGCTGCTGGCTACCCTTTTTCATATTGAACTGCATGGTGCCCTTCTGCGAACCTACTGCACCATCAAGGGGAGCAGAACCCTTTTGCATTAGTTCCACCACCTTTGATGTTTTTGTTTGGTTTGGATGGGCTAATTCCTCACTGAACCCCATCATTTATGCCTTCAATGCTGATTTCCGCAAGGCTTTTTCAACTCTGTTAGGATGCTACAGACTCTGCCCCACCTCCAACAATGCGATAGAGACTGTTAGTATCAACAACAATGGAGCAGTTGTTTTTTCAAGCCATCAGGAGCCCAAAGGATCCAGCCCAAAAGAGTGTAACCTGGTGTATCTGATCCCACATGCTATTATCTGTCCAGAAGAAGAACTTCTGAAAAAGGAAGAAGAGAGTGAACTATCTAAGAGCTTGGAGAAAATGTCTCCAGCACTGTCGGGAATCTTGGATTACGAAGCTGATGTGTCTTTGGAAAAGATCAACCCCATTACTCAAAACGGGCAACATAAAACCTGAACAGCAAGGTTAGCTCAGTAAAATTGAATCGTCAAAAAAGATATACAAGATTTTTTAGTAAGAAACTAAGCTATAGTGAGAATTATACCACCACAGGAAGTCCAGAGTTGATTATTTTCTCTTCAGTCAAACATAGCATTTAAAAACAAAGAAAGAAAAAAGAAACAACTAAAACCTAAAAGGTATTTTTGTATTGTTCATACTGAATAAAACTGAGATGCAAGTTTAGGTAGTGTGATGACAAGAAAAATGTTTCTTCTCTGTAAGGACTTAGAGTTCATCTGGATTCTTGCTTAAAATGAAGAAAGCTATAAACCACGAACCATTTAATGATTAACCCTTACTAGCAGAAAAATGAAGTTCTGTTTGTCATTTCTAGTGCTAGTGGGTGCTAATTGGTTCGAAACGAAGTGTGAGGGATTGTAAAGCTGGGTAGATGCCTTCATAAATTATTTCTGAAAAATAATTGAGCCTTATAATGAGAATGGGTATTTTTAAAGATTTTGGAGGTAATAAGTTGATGCTGGCTTTATTTATTTATTGTTTTAAATGGATATTTTTCATATGTTATAACAGATCTAGCTTTATTTATCTTATTTAAAATGTCTAAATAATGGGATATTTGTAGGGTCTCACAACTACTTTTTGACCAGTCAACTTGTCAGCACTTTATAAATGACTATTAAAAATTCTGTTAGCCTGGATAACCAATGAGGTAAATAAAGATAATATAACTTTAAAAGTATAGCAAAAGATGTAGGGGAGTCAGTAAAACTGAAACTGCAGAATTTTTTTGTGGGTTTCTTTAAAAATAGGACCAGAGTTGACTGATTGATGAGTTGTGAAAGCTCTTCCCTTTATAGAAATAAAAAGACTTGCTGCTATTTATTTTAAATTTTCATGTTACAAAGACTTTGCTAGAATGTCAGTTTGTGGATCTGTAAATACCTTAAATATGACTTCAACCTTAAGAAAAATCCTATTTGAGAAGAAAAAGCTTCTTAGAAAACAATCATTAGTATATACTGTTTTGTATTTATGTAAGATAAACAGTTTTCTCAGACCTTTCTTATTTCAAGTCTTGGATATCTTTTCTGAAGAAACACACCTGATTATAATGGTAGTAAAATGACAAATCTTGTTACCATCTGTATTACTGCAGCCACACCAGTAGTCAAAAATCATGTTGTTTGTCTGCTGCTGTATCACAGTCTCAATTAACTTTACAAGTGAGGTACTTTATTTAGTGCTTTACCTTGGAAGCTAGAAGGACATTAATTTTAGTCTTTAATATGTTAATAGTACATTGAATTATGAATAGTGCCTCATTTCCATTTTGGATTAAGACATTTCTAAACATGTACGGATCTGCAGTCCCCATTTCCAAATGTCCTGTGAGCTCCAAGAAAAGTTGCCAATGTTTATTTTCACAACTGCTACTTTTTCATTGTACTTGGAAACCAAAATCCTTGCTGCTTTCCCTTTGTAATGTAAAAAGCAGCTAGTGAACATTAGCAACATTCGTCAATATTAATATACAGCCACGTTCCAAGAAAACCCTTTGTTTTTTGGAATGTAGCAAAAATACCCTTTGGAGAATCCCTTCACCACATTTATCACAGGGTATTATCAGAAAAAGAAAAGTGAAGGAGTAATTAGAAGTCGAAAGAAATATACATCCTGCATCAGGTCTGTGTTATATATGTATTGTGAATGTTTTCATAATTTTATTGCCTGTATGCTGCTTTCATACATATAATAAAATTATTTTGTGAACAGAAGGTCAAATAAAACAATCTACATTGCATTTATTAAATAGATTCTGGACTTTGTTTGCTGTACCAGTAAAATTAAAGACAAACACATGCTCATGGTTTTCCACTTGCCCTAATTTGGAACCACGCCACAGAGGTTAATAGGAATTTTCAATACAAGCCGGAGAGCTTTGTATCAGGATAGCGGCACGTCCCTTTTTAGATTTGTGACTCTCCATTCTGGGCTAAAATTTGAAAGGAATAAAATGTCTGTTCTGGAAATGGCTGCATTCTGCATATAAATGGCTAAGCTGTTTAAATACATGGGCCCTGCTTCTTAATTGATTTTGGGTTCAGTGTCGTTGCACTGGTTTAGCTCTGAGTGAATGCGGTGGAGACGGAGGCCCACCGTGTTTGTGGAAGGGGAGGCATTTAGTGCATGTAGTGCACTGTTTTCACAGTGATGTTATAAAAAGCATACACGGATTCCATCATTAATGTCTCCCAGTGTGTTGCAGAACAAAAAACGCTTGCTTTACAACTTCACAAGATGGTGGGCTGGCTACTCAGCTGGTGTAGAACAGGACATGCTATTACTGCAGTAGAGCAATGTAGAGTCAGACCAGTTAAGGGGCCGGCCTTCTATAGTTTTTATTGTAACCAGCGTCAGACATTAAAACCAGCGGATATGATTCTGAATTCACCTTGAGTCTCATCTTTTAATTTGCCTTTAGCTAATTGGCCAAAGATTTCCTTTGGATTTGGGGTTGTGCCTGCCTTGGGCCTGCCAACTTGAGGAATGGGAAGGTTTGGCTTCCCTTTCAAAGAGTACACAGGCAAAAGACCAACTGCTGTGGTTTAAGCAAACCTCCCGTTAAGAATTCAGCCCCTTGGTCTAAAAACTCCCAGCTGTGGAATAATTTGGACTGGTACAGAATGGCAAAATTCAAGTTCAGATACTCAAAATAACCCCATTCGTTGTTGTTTTAATGGTTACAAAACAGTATCTTGAAGCCCCAGCATTTTCTCTGGATACAAGAACCCAGACCCATTCCAATTCCTTCTGGACTGCAAGACTAACCACATTTTCTGCCTAAAAATTGAGGACCCTGGTGGCTTGTTCTAGGCAATGCTCACCTTGTCTCTGAATTGGATTCCCACTTTCAGCAGGGTAACCTTGCAAAAGGTGTAACGGTGGCCATATTTATCCTGAGTCTATCTTACATTTTTACTTTCCCTCAAGCTCTCTCTTACTTTCCTGGTTCCCTCCATCCAGATAACCTCTTTATTGAACACCACCATTTTCTCCATTCCCCTCATTGACCAACTTAGTTCGTCCTCTTCTGTTCATTTGCCAGTCTAACTTCTGCCCCTCCTAGCTCTCAATATCCCTGGCCAGCCTACCTCCATTAAACCCAGGTCCTCAGAAACTCCTTCCCTCTAACACCAATGTTTTCTCAAATGCTATCATAATTTATGCAGTTTCTCAGTGCCTTCTATTGCAGTAGGCTTAAGTCAAAAATCTCCCCTACCCCCAATCTTTAAAAAAACCCCAAACCAAAAAACAGGCAAATTTACCCTTTCACTGAACTCAGAAATATCCCTCTTACTTTTTGCAAAGCCTGGGGAATAGGAGTAGAGGTAGTTACAGCGGGCAGTGGTAAGTACTCTGCCTTTGTGGACCTAATCTGAATTAGCTTCTCAGAAGCCTGTACCACCGTCTCCTTAGTTGCAAAAATAAGTGTTTTTCAGATTGCAGGTGCTTTAACACTGTTGATCCCTGCAGGCACTGGAGCAGTTCCAGCCTTGCACAGGTGAAATATTACTCCTAAGGCTCTGACTAGTACCCCCCACCAGATGCATCTTTATTGACTTCAGTGAAATGCTAATGGATAGCAGAAGCTTGGTATATTAGAGGACTAGGTTTAAAAAGTTATCTTCTGAACACTGTAAAGCAGACAGCACAGGACAGTTTTTGAATTTCCTTTGCCTTCACTGTTATTACGACACGTAGTAAATCCAGTCTTCTGTGTGAACTAAAGCATTTAACTGCATTTGAATTGTTCTACAGGAATGCCTAATGTGGTGGTAGTCTTCCTCATTGTTTCATTGTCCCTGAACGTAAGAGGTTAAAATTATCATAGTGGCCTTGAAACTAGATGAAGTGAGTATGCAGTTGAGAAAACCTGCCTTTGAATGATCAGTATTCATTTTTCTGCTGAAGACTAAACCATGAATATATTTGTGCATTCTTCTGAAGATTGAGAGCAACACACCAAGCTGGATATTTCATCCAGCAATACATATTAAAGATAGGGGGTAGAATACTGTCTTTTGTTTATATGTAGTGTTAACAACATCATTTTCTGGGTCCTTTTGCTCTGATTTTCAGAAATACCAAACACCTACAAAGCCTACTGAACCCTTTTCAACAACCCTTGAAAATCAGGCAGCTTTAAATGTCTTGTCATTGACTACAATGAGATGGGAGTTTGTTGCTGTAGATAGCATAGATAGGGTTATACACAGAAGTAAATTTCTAATTAAATGGCAAAACTATGCCACCTCCTTTATAAGTCTTGAACTAAAAATATCACAATAGCATGTTTTGTAATTGTGTAAAGGCAGATGGGCTCAGCAATACAAGTGGGCTCAGACTCCAGAATTTGGTTGCTAATTCATCTTTAGAAATGGATCATTCTGGCTAAAAAGTTGCCTCTCATTTTGTATGTCCCCATTTGGGTGTTTTGAATTGCACACTTTGAAAATTAAAGAAATTGAAAGAAAAGAACTTGCTATTTTCTAAAAAGTTTACGCCTTGCAATGTCTCAAAGGATGCACAGCTAGGCAGATATGGGACCCAGGAGTCCTGTCTGCTGGACACCCTGCTCTCACTTTACAGGAATATTTCCTCCTAGAACGTCATACAACTATAGTGAAAACTTTATTTTCCAGAATTCTGATGATGCATTTTTTTATGCATATCTGTGCATTTTACTAATGAGCACATCAATTGTAATTAGGATGAAAGTGAGCTAATAAAAATGTACTTAACAATGTCACATTCATTTTCAGCTGGAATCTCTGGGTGACACGTATCTGAATGTTGCTTGTGTTGGTATTCTGATGGCTTTAGTATTTCTCTTTTGAAGACATTTCCCTTTAAGGTCTGGTCAGGTTGTAGCATTTGCAGTCCAGAAGAAAGGTTTCTAATACTCTGTTCTTTTGCAAAATAGCTGGTGAGTTTCTCATAACCAGCATTATGTCAATAGTGATGGATGATGTGGGCTGTATGGGGCAACAACTATTACATGTAAAGCAGCAACAATAAACCATGGCTCTAGTCTTTTCAAAACACTGTGGCTACTTGCAGATATTAAACCCTCCCCCACCCCCCATGGCACTTTATTTTAATTCAGTTTGCTCTCGTGCTGAGCCCAGCACATGTCCAGAAGAGGCAGCAGCATGTTAGTTGGACCTGGCTCGCCCAAGATCTCCACTTTAGTTTGGCTTTTTGGGGGCTTTTAGCTTTAGATAAAAGCACCAAAAAGCCCCGCTGAAGCACCTGATCTATACAGACGCTACAGAGCGTATACAAATTAATGCACTGCTTCTTCCCTTAAAGCACATCTTTTTTAAACATCTGTAAGCAGCCTTATAGTGACCAGATGGGGTGTTTCTGTTCTGGTTCATTTGAAAGGGGTTGTGACAGTGTAAGTAACTACAGGAGTAGCTGGATAACTGTCAACGCAGCCAAAACTGGGTATGGTTGATAAAGATACGATGTACTAAAATGGTCTAGGATGAGATCATCATTTTAAAGGGGATGTAGGAGAAGGGTAGGCCTTCCCCCTGTGATTGTTAGTGGGGCTTGTATTGCAGAGAACAGAGTTAGATCCATGAGTGTTTGCAGAGGAAGCGGTCCTGAGCTGGCTGGGGATGGAGGAGGAACCGAGCCAGTTTGGGAGATGAAGGTGATGTGTTCTGAGCCCCTACGTGCTCAGTAGGCCTGTGCGAAGTGGCTAATATTTGCTTCGGATTCGGATTTGGCTGATTCGGGGGACAGTGATTTGTTTCGATGATTCAAATCACTGTCCCGAATTGATTCGGCTGAATCTGATTCGGAGATTTGGCCACGGCCGAATTGGCTGAATTTTCAAATCAGACAGACCCCATCCCCTGCCTGCTCTCCCAGCCTGTCAGTGGCTGCCCTGCCCCACCCTGGCCTTTTTATTGGTCTTCTGATTTGATTTGGATTTGAAGATTCGGCCAGTGAATCAGGCTGCATCTCCTCTGAACTGAATCAGCAGCTGGAGCTGCACACAGCCCTAGTACTCAGTTATTTTGCTTCTCTGCCTACACACCCTAGAAGCCAGTGGAGCAGGCACATAAGGCAGAGCAGCTATCAGACCTGTGTTAGCCTGGACCAGGTGCAAAGTTGCATCCACTCTGTCCCTTCAGCCGTGCTTACACTCTAATTGCATAAAGCTGAGACTGGCCCACTCTTACTGTGGGCCCAATCCTACTGAAACCATCAGAAGCAGGGTTGCCAACCCCAGAATTGTTGGGGTTTTTTAACTGCAAACTTTTTACAGACAATGAAACTTCCTACTGATCTGTGTTTTTACTGACATGTTTAAAATATTATAAATGTAACCCTTCTGTTAGGCCTTCCCTGGATGTCAGTAAAAAAGGCCAGGTTCAGATTTAGGGGTTTAACACCAACTTTCTATATCTGGCTTGAGTTTCTACCCAGAATAAAGTCTTACTTCACCTTTGCAATTGTTTATCACTGTGCTGCCCCCATCTCAGGGGTCACCTACACATCTCCACACCCTGGTACCCCCATTGCACCCCACAGTGTGCTGCTCCCCCCCCAGCCTGCTTCCTAACCTGACCCTTACAGGCCCTATTATTTCCATCCTGGCCCTTCAGGTCTGTCCCAGCTGCACTGTCCCCACCCCCATCTCACTATGTGCCTCAGACTGTCTGGAGCCTGCTTACCTTCCAGCAGCCATTACAGGCAGGCAATGAGATAGAGTAGCAACAAGT